AATGCATTTCCCCATACTTTCCTCCTGTGCACTCTGGTTTATGCTTCACAGTTGATTTTGTTGACAGTGGATTTTAAATACTTAACTAAGCTAAATCAGAAGTACAAAAGGACTGATTAATTTTGAAACTGCCTTATGGAATAAACATACACATATTTATACATACTATACAATATATTGTATCAGTTTAAAAGGCTGTTGTTTTTCAATTAAAATTATACATTGATTTAGCCCAATGAAATGAATTGAAATTAACTTTTCAATGTTATAACACTTTATATTATAAATACATATTATTTTTGGTTAAGCTATTGTTTATTATATTGTATATTGCTATATTATATTGTCACAATAATAGTTTAACTGAAGAGTTTTTTTTATTAATTGTTTGTTTGAAAGACATTTGTAGAAGGGAACGTGTTGAAAACTAAATTCCCTTTCACATGTTAACAACCTCTTCCAAACAGTGTCTTTTGGCTTTTACTTTTTACACAAGCCCTAATTTATTCATCTTGAAGAGTCTGAACATGCATTAATGAAATATAACTTCAGTTTGTTCTACACACATTTTTTGTATGGTTTCTGCCTCCAGTAAGTCTGTTGTCAAGACCTGACATATCACTGGGAAATGCAGACAGCACCTCACCTCACCAGTCTTTCTCTTAGATCCTTATTCAATAACATACAGCTGACACCATGCTGGTTTTTCGTTCATTTGTCAGGAATGACCCGCTGAGGAAATGGGAAGATGAACCTTAGGAGGGCTAGACGAGAGGTGAAGTTAGAGTCGAGTTCCGAGCATGGCAGGAAAAGGTAGGGGAATAGGTTTCCAATCCAGAATAGGGCAAGGCTGAAGTCATAGTCAAAAGGCAGTTCCGTGATCCAAATGGTGTAGGTCAAGGAGAAGGCTTCCTAATCCAAAGGGGCAAGACAGTAGACATAGTCGAAGGCATGTTCTGAGGTTGGTAACAAAGAGTGAGTAGGAAACAGAATGAAAGGCAAGGTTGGAGCTCAAAAAAACAACCAATACCAGGCGATGAAAAGGGGCTTCTGGAGGGTTTAAGTATTGTGCGAGGGAGAAGGGGTGTTGACTGATGGAGTGTCGTGGTTGGCCGATTGGCAGGAGTAGTGTCGTTTAGCAGAAGTGCTCAGGGCTGGAATGTGATTAGTGCGAGTGCGCTTGTGTGTGAGAATGTGGCAGGATGAAGGTGTGACAGTACCCCCCCCTTCACGGGCGGCTCTGGACGCCCTAGTAGATCTGTCCACGGTGGTACGATGGAAATCGTCGATAAGTGTCTGATCCAGAATGTCCTTCTCGGGAACCCAAGATCTCTCCTCTGGTCTGTAACCCTCCCAGTCCACCAGGAATTGCCATGAAGCCTTGTACCAGTGGGAGTCTAGAATCTTGTGGACTGTGTAGGCTGGAAGGCCATCGATCAAACGAGGGGGGGGAGGTCGAGGTTGGGGTTTAGAAAGAGGAGAGCGATAGAAAGGCCGCAAGAGGGAGACATGAAAAGTGGGATGAATCTTGAGAGGTGGGGGAGAGCCAGGCTGTAGGAGACAGGAGTGGTTTGAGAGAGGATGTGGAAGGGACCAATGAACCGAGGACCGAGCTTCTTCGAGGGTTGACGCAAGTGTAGGTTCCTAGTGCAGAGTCATACAAACTGCCCCCTCCTAAGTCAGGTAGCCAGACGCCGGTGACGGTTGGCAGCGCCAGCGTGATGCAGGGAGGTCTTTTGGAGAGTGGCCTTGGCAGATTTCCAGATGCGGCGTAGTTTTAAAAAATAGAGGCGAACGGAAGGTCCGTGGCCAGGGTGGTTTCAGGGATGAGGGAGGGTTGGTATCCCAAGGAGCAGAAAAGGGGAGACATTCCAGTAACTGAAGTGAGAAGAGAGTTGTGGGTGTATTCCACCCAGGGGAGCAGAGAGGACCAGTCATCCTGAGCAGATGAGGTGTAAGACCTTAAGTAGGTGAGGAGAGTTTGGTTAGTTCTTTCTGCTTGGCCGTTGGCCTCTGGGTGATAGCCAGAGGTGAGAGAAATGGAGGTGCCTAAAGCCTTGCAAAAAGCCTTCCAGAATCTGGAAATAAATTGCGGACCCCTGTCAGAAACAATATCCCTAGGTATACCATGGAGGCAGAAGATGTGCTGGACAAATAGGTCTGCCATTACATTGGCCGAGGGTAAAGCAGGTAAAGGGATGAAATGCGCCGCCTTGGAGAACCGATCTATCACAACCATGATGGTGGTGTTACCACAACTCTCGGGGAGGTCAGTAATGAAATCCACCGACAAATGGGACCACGGGTGATCCGGAATGGGGAGGGGATGGAGGAGACCGGTCTTCTTACATTGCGGGGTCTTGGATCTCGTGCACACAGGACATGCCCAGACATAATCGAGGATGTCCTGCTTCATAGAGGGCCACCAGAACTCTCAGCTGATAAGGTCCAGGGTTCGTTTGGAACCAGGGTGGCCTGCTGAGCGGGAATCGTGCCCCCATTGCAGGATGCAGGAACACAATGAATTGGGGACAAAGAGCCTATCAGATGGACATTGTGGAGGAACGCTTGTGTTGGCGAGGGCACATCTGGCCTGATGATCGATGGAGCTCTGGGCAACAGCGAGAATCCTGTTAGGAGGGACGATGGGATCAGGAATGTTGACAAGGCCTGGAGGGTTGTGCAGGCGGGAGAGGGCATCAGCCTTCAGGTTCTTCGAGCCAGGTGTGTAGGTGATAACGAAATCAAATCTAGAAAAGAACAAGGCCCACCTTGCCTGTCTAGGGTTGAGGCGCTTGGAAGACTGGATATAGGCTAGATTCTTATGGTCAGTAATAATCACAAAGGGGTGTTGAGCTCCCTCAAGCCAGTGTCTCCATTCCTCTAGGGCCAATTTATTGGCTAGGAGGTCTCGATTACCCACATCGTAGTTGACCTCAACAGGGGATTGTTTCCTAAAAAAGAAAGCACAGGGATGAGGAAGATTTTTCTCACCTTGGTGTTGAGAGAGGCCAGTTCCAACTCAGTATGCAGATGCGTCCACTTCCACTACAAATGGGAGGGAGGGATCCGGGTGACGCAACAAGGGGGCTGTGGTAAAGAGGTGTTTGAGTCTAAGAAAAGCCTGGTTGGCCTCTGGGGTCCATCTGCCAGTGTTAGAACCCTTGCGGGTAAGGGCAGTAATGGGAGCTGCGATGGAGCTAAAGTTCCTGATAAAACACCTGTAGAAATTGGCGAAGCCAAGAAAGCATTGAATCTGCTTAAGATTGTGAGGAGCAGGCCAGTCCAGATTGGTAGAGACCTTAGATGGATCTATCTCCACACCCCCCGATGAGATGACGTAGCCGAGGAAATGGATCTTGGTCACATAAAAGGAGCATTTCTCCAGCTTAGCATAGAGATTATTTTCAGTGAGACGGGAGAGAACCTCAAGGACGTGTGCTATATGATCCTGAATATAAAAGGAAAAAATTAGGATGTCATCCAAGTAGACCAAAACAGACTTGTGGATGAGGCCCCTGAAGATGTCATTCATAA